GCCGCTGCCGCTGCTAGTTTCAGAGGCGGGCAGCTGCGCCTCCGAGGCATCCGCCGCCGCTGCCCGCCGTCGAATGCCGCCTTCGCTGCCGTGCCAGCTGCCGCTGCCGTCGCTCACGGCCACAGAAGGCGGCCGCAAATCGGTGTAACGCGTGACTTCCAGGCTGTCACCGCCCAGCCCAGCCCCTGTGCTGCCAGAGACTCCAGCCTGCAGCTCCTCCTCCTCTGCATTTTCGGGGCCATCCGCGCCCGCCGCCCCCGCCGCTGCCAGCGCCGCGCGCGCCGCGCCGGGGCCGCCGTTCAGCAGCCCCAGCGCCCGCCGCAGCCGCGCCTCGACGACGGCCGGGCGCGTCAGCGCGAGCGGCAGCGCCTTGTAGGCCCACGCCGCCCAGCCGCCGCGCTGCACGCCCGCGAGCACCGCGATTTCGTAGAGCCCCGGGACTGTGGACTCCACCGACACGGCCAGCAGCTGCGGCTGCGCCAGCAGGCGGCGGCGCAGCTGCCCCGGTGGCGCGGCGGGGAACGCATCGTCCCACATCTCCAGGCGCGAGGCGAGCTGCTCCACCCTTGTGGGGAGGGGGGCACGAATTGGGGGGTCGCGGCACGAGGGATTGGTGTTTGAAGTAAGTATGAGAGATGGGAGGAGGGCCGGCTGCAGCTGGGACCGCTGGGCTGCCCGCATCCAGACGCGGCCGCTGAGACCGGCAGGTGCCCCAACCGCGGCCGTGCGCCCGCACCCCGCCGGCGCACGAAACTCACTTGCAGCACAGCAGCTGTGGGAACACGCGCAGTGCGCGGTCCGTCTCGGCGCGCCCCAGGTCGCGCTGCAGCACCGCCACTTTCCGGGCGAGCAAGGCCGCGCTGCCGCTGACGCCGCTGTAGCGATCCGTGGCGGCGGCAACGCGCGCCGCGGCGTCGGGGGCCAGGCCGCAATCGGCCACCAGAGCCGCGGCGAGGTCAGCCTTGGCGGCGGCAGATAGCGCGCGCGCCTTGGGGGAAGCGGGCGCCGGCGCAACTGCAACGTGGGCGGTCGCTGCGCGGCGGCCGGCCGTGGCACGAGGCCGACGACGGAGCCCGGCGACTGCTGCGCGAGCGTTGCCCTCGCGGTGCGCGCCGCATGGCACCACACCCGCTTTGCATGGCGCCTTATACGGCATTGCTCAAGAATCAGAGCATGTTGCCTATGCTCTACCACGCCCGGCCATGCCGGCCTACCCGGGGGATTGCGCTCACACTTTTTTCATCACACTGTGACTGTGCGAACGGGTAGAGGCAATATATACATGCTTGATTACAACATGTATTGACACCAATCGCGCCCTGTTTCAGTCTTCACACCAACTTTTACGTAAAAACATTGCGCTCCCGAATACGGTATAAGTGTACCACACGCGGGTAGCCATGTCACTTCTTGTGCACGGCCAGCGCTATGCGGAGGACATTGACAGTCGCCTGTGGGGCAGGAGCAGGAGCATCGACGGGAACACAGCTCTGACCGCTACGGGCAGCACAGCAGGGCCCATATCAACACTGAGCTGGGCCGACCCCGGGTCTCCCGACAACTCCAGCTTGCGCAAGGCTCGTATTGAGTCTTTCTGCCGCCGTACGCCCCAGGTGTGTATCTGCTGGGCTGGACGGGGGAGATTAAAAAGCAAGTCTGAGAGGCAGCTGCCAGGCCCATGCCCCACACACCACGTGCACTGGGCCCATGGCCACGTCTCACTGTGGCCCTGCGGGCTCTCTGTGCCACATTACGCAGCTGGCCGCCCTCCTAGGCAGCAGCATAAGGGCAAAGGCAATCTCCGGGGGCATGACCAACCACTCCTACCTGGTGGAAGGGTCCAAGGGGCGCATCTTTCTGAAGGTGAGCCCTGTTTTTGCAGGGAAGCGGGATGGGCTCAGCAGCAACCGCCATTGCAACAGCTCCAGCAGCATTATCAGCCCTAGCATCGCCAGCAGCAGCAGGTGCCATCCATGTCTTGCGCGGCCTGCATGAGCCGAAGGTGTTTGTGATCCGTGCAGCGCAAAACTGAGCAAAACCTCACCGGCCACTTTCGGGCTGCCAAACCCACGCCTATGGCAAACGCAGCAAGCTGAGGCCTGCCACAGTGTCGAGACCGCGATTCCCCTCAGCCTGGTGAGCGCTGCCACCTGCTGCACCGTGGCAAATACATTTTGGTGTGGGTGCGGTCAACAGCCTGTGCGCTGATCTGGGTTTGACCTGACCTGCCTCGCACACCCCCACAGGCCCGCCTCGCAACGGAGGCCATTGGCATGCGTCTTGGCCAGGCTTGCGCGCCGGAGGCCGTCCCGCCGTGCCTGCACTACGATGGGCAAGCAAACATAGTGGCCGCAGAGTTTGTGCAGGTGCGTTGCCCCTTGAGTAATGGACATGGTGCCTGAACGAGGTCGTGGTCACAATGCAAACGGGCCTGGTCAGGATACGATACTTGTCCTGATTTTAGCAAGCGCCCCCGCCCCAAAACTCTGTCTTTGCGCCGCACGCATGCATCTGTCTCAGCATGGCCCTGCTGCGCACGTACCACGCCTTCACAGGGGCGCGAGGTGCTGCCTGCCGCCCTGCTCAAGGGCGCCATATTTCCTGGCCTCGCCTGCAGCCTGGGCTCCGCTCTTGCACGGCTCGCGGCCGGCACGACGCGGGAGGCGCTGGGGCACAAGGCGTTTGGCGCTCTGGAGGCGGTGGCCGCAGCAAGCTCGAGCGTTGCTGATCTCATGGAGGATCTAGTGCTCTATTTGGTGGGTGGCGCAGCTGGGGTCACTCACAGATGAAGGGGTGGTGTGCGCATAAATCAGCAGCACTTTTGGTCGCAGGGACGGAGGGGCATATAATGGGCGTATTTCAGAAGGCTTGCTTGACGAGAAAACGAGGCGCTTGAGCTGAATTTGTAGCAAATGGAGTCCGCGTTTGCGCGCCGCGCAAAGATCCCCTCATCACACCTCAAACAACTCCGTCCCACCGCCCACCGCACCGCCCGCAGCCGTTTGACCGCGCCGCGCCCCACAACCGCTGGCCGGCTGAGCTGGACGCTGAGGTGGAGGCCCTCGTACACGGCGACGCCGCCCTAATGCGCGAGGTCGAGTGCATGCGGCGGCTGCGCAGCGGCGGCGGCAGCCCCTGCTTCGCCCACACAGACGTCTGGCTCAACAACATCCTCGTCCCGGAGTGGCCCGAGGGGGGTGGCGGCGGCAGCCAGCAGCAGGAGGTGGTGCCGACCATCGTGGATTTTGAGTTCGGGGCGATCGCGCCGACCAGCTACGACATCGGGCACACGCTAGGGATGCTTGTGCTGGCTGCGTTCCTCGTGCGCGCGTACAGCGACGGCGCGGACGGCGGCGCCGTGCCGGGTGCGCGGCGGCGCGAGCAGGAGGACTGGCTCCTGGCATCCGTCGGTGAAGCCTGGGCCGAATTCGAGCGCGTGTGGCGCGGCCTGCAGCAGCGGCGCTCGCCCTGGAGGCAGCGGGCCGCGCTGCCGCCGCCGCCGCTTCTCGCGGACGCGCTTGGGTTTGCTGGTTGCACCGTGATTCGGTGGGCAATCGGGCAGTTCAACATTTTCAGGAGCCTGGGTGTGGGGGATGCAAGTGGCGCTGCGCACTGCGCCGCCGTGCGGCGCGCGGTGCACGCGGGGGCTGCCATGCTTCGGGGGCGGCACGCCATCAAGAGCGCAGATGAGGTGGCAGACATTGCACGTGCTGAGCTGGCATGACCGTGGCACTGCGTAATTGATTGGTGAAAACAGTGCAATGAAAAGAGTGCAGATGACTGCAAATTGAACTGCGCAGGACACAAATGAACTGAAGTGACGCGCTCTGCGTGATGTGGTGTCATGCTGTCTGCGTTGGGCACCTTCTTGCATTCATGAGTCCTTGCCATAAGTCCTTTGCCACAGATGACATGCACAAGGTGCATCGAGGGTGCTGAGGACATTTGACTGGGCTTGACTCCCATTTGTTTCTTCACTCACTCTGACTCATTTGGTTGCACCATTCACTGAGAACAGGATGGTTCAAGAACCCCTTGCACTGCATGGGCCCTGAGCAAATGACTGTGTATTCATACAAGATTGTAATACATCACACCTGCTGGTAAAGACGTGGCTGGTACTCGCGCATGCCCACTGATGCTGCCCCTGCGCCGAGACGCAGGTTTCGTTGGGTTTGGCCTGCAACACCGGTAGTGAGGTAATTGATATCACCCATGACATTCACCGCAGGGTGCCGAAGGCACCCGCGCGGTGTGCATTGGTGTTCGGTGGACTGCGGGCGGGGGGCGTTCAGCGCTGCAATCATGCTGGGCATCATGGCCATTGTGACCTGTTTGGACGAAAGAGAAGGTTTTTGCTGCATTTCTCAACTCACATCAATCAAAGCGGCTGCGTTGCATGAGGCGGCACGCTGACACACCGCTCCGATTGCTGCAGCGCGCACACCTGCTGCGCGCAGCGGGCGGCGGGTGACAATGGCGTCTTTTGTCCCTACAAACCGAAGATGGCAAATTAAAACGCGTTTGATTTCGTGTGAGAGTCTTCAACGGAGAACTGGTCCGGGACAAGCATACGGCACCCACTGCAGCATGTTGATTTCCAGCTTGAAGGGCATCCAGCTTGGCACCTGTCAGCATGAACGCTTGTTTGCACCTCACTTTCAAATATTTGTAGACCATCAGACCCTTTCTCTACGCTGTTCACCCGCTGGGCCCCATAATGAGCACCTGAACCAGCCTCGTGAGCGGGCATCGGTGGCAACGCAGCCATCAAGTATGGTGCAGCACGAGGACTCAACATGGTTCCCGGAGTTCAAGGCTGCTGCAGTGGTCCGGGATGCCGAGTCCGCGCGTGTCGTTTTTGCCCGTGTCAGGGGCTATCCTGCGTGGCCGGTGAGCAGAGAAGGTTTATGATGCTGAGGGAAGAACACGCGCGAGCGACGGTGCTTGGAAGCACTGTGACCCGGGCTCTTGGCTTGCAGCAGCAGCATACGCCGAGCCCGCGTGGCCAGTGAGCGTCTAGATACCTTGTTGTGCCTTTGTAGGGCGCAGCTGCAGCCCCGGCATGCGCCGGTGTGCCTAGTCCGAAGGGTGCTGCTGATGCAAACACGCCAGACTGGCCTTTCGCGTTGCTCCTGGACCCCGATCACCGGGCTCGAGGGATGATTGCAACGTTTGATTTCTCATGCAGCTGGTGCCGCGTTGCGAGCTGGCCTGGGCGGGCAAAAGCGCCGCTGCTGCCGCCATGCTGCACGCGCTGCTGCTGTTGTCGCCAACGCTGTCGAGGCGCGCGGCCCTGGCGCCCACGGCGACCGGCCCCTGCAGGCGCTCCGCTGCCGCTAGCCGGAACCTGTCGGCCGCTCGGTGCAAAAGCGGCCTCTTTACCACCACCCGCGTTCGAATCACGCGGCGCGCAGGCCCAGGTCCTCACCAAGCAGTTTGCCCGCGCCCACCTCGGCGGCGTCGCCCACAAGAGCCAGAGCGACGTCCCCGTCATCTTCTTCGGCACGTCCGAGATCGCGTGGGTCAACCCGCGCGACGTCGTGCAGTGGGGCGACGGCGTGGCGCAGCAGTTGCACCACAAGGGCAGGAAGAACAAGAAGTTTGTCGTGGCGTTGGAGCAGGTAGGGGCGCGCAAGGGCGGCCGTTGCGTCTTGAGAGAGTCCGCATTGAGTCTGTCCCTCCACCAGGCGAGGGGAAACGCTCCGCTCACCCCGCGCTGTGCCAGCGCAATTCAGGGACGTGCGACGCCACCCAATTGCCGGCGACCACCACCCATTACTGGAAACGCACCTGCTGCCCGCTCGACCACTCCCGCGCGCCACAGCTGCGCGAGTTCCTGGCTTTAGCCGGGCCCCGCCACGCCCCCGCCGGCTGGTGGTGTGCGCCGCCAGAGGTCGGCACAGAGGCGGTCCTTGAGATCGCGGCCGAGGATGAGCCGGGTGCAGAGGTCGAGGAGGAGAACGAGCTGAAGCAGGAGCAGCAGGGGCAGGAGCAGCTCCCGCAGGCGGAGGAGGAGAGGGCGCCCGCAAAACGCCAGCCGCGCGCCCGCTCGAGCGGCGGCGGTGCGCGGGCGCGGAAGGCGTTGGAGGAGGGCGGCGGGCGGCGCGCAGAGGCGACCAAGCGGGAGGCTGAGGAGCGGAAGGCTGAAGAGGAGGACGAGGAGTTGGATCAGCAGGAGGAGCACGTCGCAGCTGCTCAGGGCGGCGACGACGACAGCGACTTTGAGAGCGGCGCGGAGCGCGCGCGCCGGCGACGCAGCGCGGCCCGGCGCGCCGCGAAGCAGCCTGACGCGCGGCCGCGCGCGCGGCGGGGCAGCAGCTCCGGCGGCGCCGCGCGGCGGCGGCGCAATGGTGTGAAGCGCGAGGCTTCGTCGGAAGAGGACGAGGGCGAAGCGGAGGCGGGTGGCGGGCACAGCCAAGAGGACGCTGCGGCGCCTGAGAAGGCGCCAGACGCGGAGGGCGAGACCGGAGCCGCGGACCCCGCCCCGGCGGCCGAGGACGTGGCGGCGGCTGCCAGCGGCAGCGCTCCTGCCGCAGATGTAGATGCCGACGACGACGCGGCCGACCTGCCCTGTGACCTTGACCCGGCTGCTGCTGCTGCGGCGCCGCCAGTGCTCGACAGCGGCGCGGCCGGCCGCACGTGGCTGGACCGCTACGGCTCTGACGCGGTGGACGGCCCCTCCAAGGGCCTGCGCGGCAGCGCTCTTGCGCGCGCGGCCGTGCAGCTGGCCGCCGCCGCGCAGCGCTCGCAGGAGGACGAGCTGCGGCGCTACGTCGCGGCGCAGGCGGCGGAGGCGGAGGCGGACGGCGGCGGGTGGGCGCACGCGTACGACTGGGAGGGGGACGACGCGGAGTGTGAGGGCGAGGAGCAGGACGACCCTTGGAATGAGGAAGAC